TAAAGCAAAACCTGTGTTTGTCTTCTTCTAAAAAACTTGGTCGCCAAGTTTTTTTTTGTACGGAAAGGCCACCTCACCAACGTTTTCTTCTGAGCCCACGCGCCATTGATGGTAGAGTAGCAGAGTGTCAGAGTCCCATTTTTTCTTGTTACGGACACGCTACCATTTTTTGTGCCTTGTAAGCCCACGCGCACCAATAGCCATTGTATACTCTCTCATTTTGACAAGAAGACAAAAAATGCTTTTTTAAATCTCATTTTCTCTCTCGTTTATATACTGAAAGAAACATTGTGGTTGTGACGTGTCATGTCCACAAACCCCAAATTCGATTCCAATTCTTCTTCTTCTTTTTCCTTTTTAATAATCCGAATTACTAATTCATTTTATATTTCTGTTTTCCTCCCTCTCATATCAAGCGCTTTAGTGTTTAACCAAAAAATCAAAGTGCTTTTGTATAATTACGACGGTTATCTATTAAATATATATACACTAACTATTTCGGACTGGTGTTTATATTAGCAGTTAATTAATATAGTTTATAATTAATTACGAGTCAACTCAACCTAAGTGAATGACAAAACGTCAGGTTTCGTTTATATGTATATACTAAAAGAAACATTCTGGTTGTGACGTGACGTGTCATGTCCACAACCCCAAATTCTCGTTTATTCTTCTCAACACTGTGTATCACTTTTCAAAATACACTTTTCTTCATGTCTTCCTCCAATATAAATTTGAATTGCTTTCAAGTTATGATAAAAAATTTAGCACTCGAGTTTGATCGCTCGCACCTATGATCTGCTGATAAATCTCTTTCCATTATAGAAAGTAATCCTAATCACGTGAAAAAATGAAATTTCTCTATACAACCTCGTTGCTCTATAATTAGTATTGCGTTGATCGAGAAAATTATATTCTGTATAACTAATGGAGCAGTGATTACGTACAGCTATTTTATCTAAAACTAAATTGGAAAATAAGTAATAAAAACTAGCCGTTACGTTGTTATTCTTCTGACAATACAAGTTGGGCTGATTAGATAACAAACCCAGGCCCAATGTATACAAATAACTCCCATGTAGGTTTTGTAGTTCAAGTCCGAGAGTGTCTAACCTACTGGAAGAAGCTAAATTTAAAGATTACTACTGTTCATATAAAACTTCTTTTATTTGAATAGACACTACGAAACTGACGTGAACTAAAGAGAGAA